ACAAACATAGAGAATCTATCATGGTTAAAGACTAAGGGCTTTCTCCTAAGCAGAGTGAGGCAGCCACCTCAGACAGCTGAATTTTGGTCACGAAGAGCAGCAGATTGTGAATGCTTTAATTTACTGGTATTTTTATAGCCAGGGTTAAGAAACTGTGTATATGGAAATTTTCTGTCTCAACCCCCCCGACCTCGCCCCCCCCCCCGGTTATGGGCAGTATGTAGTTGGATTTGGGAATGGGGTGCCATTTGCTGCTCCCTGGGCAGGAAGAAGTAAAATTCCTGGGCCAGCCCTAGAAGGAGAACTTACCTGGCCTTATAGAATCCATTAATTTTTCACTCTTAATGTCCTCATGTGAACACAGTGGCTTTCATTGTAACTGATAAATTAGCCCTGATAAAAGCCTTCTGATCAAGAAAAGAAAGCTATGCATGTAGACTTTAACAACAGATAACTACATCAACATGCAGAGAGGAGTGGAAGGAAGTATAACATGCCAAAACGTGGTTTTTCCTGGCATTTTAACAGAGAACCCCAGGGTGGAGTATGATCTAAGCTGTTCCTCTGCTCAAACCTAGGGAGTGCCACACTTGGAGATAGCTAGGAGAAAGCAAGCTGTTCCATAAACACCAGTAAGCCAATGGAAGGAGTAGGTCAGCTAACAAGTAAGGAGTTGCACAGCCTCAGGCAGCAGCATCAGATTTAACAAAGCTGAGGGTGTGGAGCTCATTATCAAACTGCTTGTACGCACCAAGAGGAATATGTAAAATGTGTGCAGTGCCTGATCATTAAACTGCTACAATGGTTGGCCAGACATGGATGAGGTGATATCAGGTGGTTGGCAGTCATTGGCAGTCACAGAGAAAGGAAGTGAAGAAAGAAGGGCTGACTCATTCACTGTTTCCCCAGCAGGTGGTTATGCAAGGGGGTGGTGGGAAAGGTATGTAGCTTGTACCCAAGCCAAGCAGGTGAATGAGTGAAGTAGAGAAAGAGAGGAGGTTACTTATCAAAAATGTTTCCGTGAGAAAATGTAAATAGGAACATAAGCTAGGGAAATACATTGGCAGTTTGAAATTGGCCAAAAGGCATCAACTTAAGATATCACACACAACTAGGAGCTGGTGGTGTAGCTGAGAGGATGAGCTATATACGAAGTCCCCAAATTCAAGCTACTCTTCTTCAGTCCTCAGCATTGTTATTAGAGGTTATAGTGACTTCACAAGATTTTTGTATAGGGCTTGTATGTGAAAGATTTAAGAGTATTCAAAAGGGCAAGATAAACACTAACTATTATTACAGATTGTATTTTTTAGAATAGGTAGATATCTTTCCTTTGGAACACTTTGTTGAAACACCAGCAATCAGCAGGCAGTGCAAAATTGACATGGAAGATATAATACAGATAGAGAAAGGTTTGTCAAGGAGGAAACAACATGTCTGCCATCCCTACCCTATTTCTTTTCTATTGAGTCTGTAACTAGTTTGTCATCAAAAAAGAATACATACATAAACTTGCTAATATAAAGAACACCATGTGTTTTTTTAAATTATCTGCTTTAAAAGGGCATGTATGCTTCAATTTGCACTAGAGAAGGAACAGAATAACATTTAATATTTATTTTTAAAAGGAATGTGGCCACGGCTGTTTTATCCCAGCATATTTTGGGACCACCTGAGATCAAGGCACAAAGCAACTTAGGCTGAGATCCTATAGTCCCTAGGATTGCAGTGACCCTAGGAGAGCTAGAATGTTCCTGCTGAGGCTGGAGACAGGCATGTTGGTCTTGGATTTCCTTTCCTTGCCTCAGACTGGGGCATGGCAAAGGCAGAGCAAAGTAGAGTTAGGGTTCTATTCACCCATCCAGTCCCAGAGTTAGTCTAGTTCATGTTTCCTGCCCATTGCTCAGAAAGGGAGACTCGTCTCCTCTCCTCCTTTTTGGAAAAATTCAGAGAAAGAGAAAGGAATGGCAAACATTACTTCTCCCTCCATTCAGCCTGCTCGTAAGAGTCCAGCAGGAGTCCCCCAGGGCTTGGTAAATGTCAGAGCACTCCAACACTGCCAGCAACTTTGCAATTGCTTCTGGGCAGAACAGTAGAATATGTCTACTCAGAGCAGCTTAATAAGTGTGTTAAGGCTTTCTTCTTGGCAATTGGGTATGTACAAGATTGCAAATGGGATCACCAAACTGTGAGATATTGCAGATGGAGCTTAGGCAAGTCTTGGAAATTTCCCCTTCTGTACAATATGCTAAATAATGTAATTTATAATACACCTTTTTCTTGACATGGCAACCTTTTTGCAGATGATTTTGGTTCTTCATACTTAATAAGAAACACTAGTGAAATCTGGTTGGTATGTATTTTTATGTTTCAATCCAGCCACCATTTCCTTCTTGTAAGGTCTATTACTTCCAACAGGACAATCAAGGAGGTGCTAAATAGTTTACACTGAAACCAACAGCCCTTAAAACCACCAGACATTGTTTAGAACATTTTGACAATATTCTCAATGGTGCCTTATTTGGGTAAAAATGCATAACACTTCCTGGTTCTCTTTAAAACTGGCCTACATTTTCATACCTCTTTTTTCTGTGAGGCCTGCAAGATATATCATTTTTATGAGATCAGAAAGGTGAGGGACATAGTCCATCTAGTTCAGCACGCCATACACATGGTAGCAAACCAGCTGCACATAGGATCTCTCAGGCAAGATGGGTGCAAAACCTCCGCCTGCTCAAGCTGCTCAGCAACTGGTCTATGAAGGCATGCTGCCTCTGGTAAAGAAGGTAAGCACATAGCCATCAAGGCTAGTAGCCACTAATAGCATCCTCCTCCTCCATGAATTTGACCAATACCCCTTTGAAGCCATCCAAATTGATGGCCATCCCCACTTCCATGGCAGCAAATTTCATAGTTTTACTATACATTGTGTGAAAAAGTATGTCTTTTTATCTGTCCTAAACCTCCACCATTCAGCTTTATGGGATGACCCCAGGTTCTAGTGTTATTTTTCCACAGCATGCATTCTTTTAAATACTTCTATCATGTCTCACCTTTCTCTCCTTTTTTCTAAGCTAAACAGGTATAGCTGTTCCACATAGGGGAGTTGCTTCAGCCCCTTGATCATTTTCATTGCTTTTCTCTGTACTTTTTCCAACTCAACGATGCCTTTTCTCAGGTGAGGCAACCAGAACTGAACACAATATTTTAAGTGTGGTTGTACCAATCATTTGCATAAGATCTTGGGAGTAAGATCTTGGCAGTTTTGTTTTCAAGTCCATTCCAAATTATGACTAGTATGGGGTTTGCCCTTTTCACAGCAGCAGTGCAGTGGGCTGACATTTTCACTGAGCTGCCCACCATTCTCGCTTTATATGCAGAAAGGGAATATATGTGATTCATTAAATATGGCTACCTATCTCATATCTAATTTAGCCTCAGTTATGCTCCACAGCAAGCTGAGGTGTGATGAGCATTATAGATTTTGCAATATGACCAGCTGTGAGGCCAGATTCCTCTGCCTTCCTGAATGGATGGAACAAACTATTTCTCAGCATGGGGATGTATGAACAAGGCTTTATGTTAGAACTGTGTCAAAATCCAACAGAGATTTATGAAGCATGTAAATTTTCCCTCAGTGAAGATGTAGATAAAGCTATTGAACTTGAATAGTTGGGGTTTTAATGCTAGGATTGGTCAATAATAACACATGAACCATAACATGCCACACAGGATTCTATCCTAAATACACATAACAACTTGGCATTTATTAGAGACCTGCCTGTCTGATGAGGGAGAAATTAATCTCTCCAATGGATTTCTTCCCACAGCACCAGCTTCAACTCAATAGATGGGGAAGTAGAGTTGCTATGTATGTGCAATAGATGGGGAAGTAGAGTTGCTATGTATGTGGTAAAGTCACAGTACTGTTCTGGTGGGAGAAGTGGCTTCAGTGGGCTGGCGAGAAGTGGAGTTACAAGAGCAAATGTCTTGTTGGCCTTGGACAAAGCAGCATCAACTCTGAGAAGGGATGTGCCAGCCTTCAGTTGCTTTCCAGCTTCCCCACCCTCACTGTTCCTTCTCTTGGACTTGCCCAATGAATTGGAGAGTCAATGCAGTCCTCTTCCCCCCTCTCCCCTGTCTTTTGAAAATATGAAATTTCCAATGTCTTTTCAGACTTTCCCAATTGCCTTCTTTGTCCTCTTGCCTCAAAACAACAAATTGAAATACATGTCTATTCAGAGAAAAATCACATTGAATTCAGTGGCTCTTACTTGGAAGATGGATTGCACCTGCTTTCGGGAATTGCTTTTGCTGATTCTGCTGGCTTCCTCCCATAGGATGGAGGTGTCAATTGTTTTGCTTTATATAAAAAAGATACCACTCCTATGCACCTGTACATACCTAACTGACCTAACAAAGACATAAACAAATGAATCTTTAAAGGCCCTTTCCCTGCACACATTGACTCCTCCTCACACATCAACCATTGCAATTACGTGTAACATAAGGTCACATTTTCAACACTATGAAAACTGCCCTGTATTCATTAGCATTGTCCTCCAACTCTGATAAATGAATTTTGCATAAATACTGCGATTGTACTACCTCATAAATGGAAAGGTCTCTAGTGTAGGCCTGATTACACTGCCAGTTTTTTCATAGAGAAAAACCTCTACAAATAAGTATGTTCTATGTGCTGTTCACTTAAGAATTTGTGAAGTCCTCCCTCACCACAATGTCATCAGCTGAATTCCATTTACTTTCCCCTACAGAATTATTTGGCATTCAATTACAACTAAACTTATCAGTATAAGTTTGTTCTGGATACTTTTCTTAGGCAGAAATGGGGAATAGGGCTCACTGAGCACAATCCTATACATGTCCACTCACTACTAGCCATACTGAGCTCAATACTTATACTTCTAGATAAGCATGTGTATAAGATGCTTATCTACAGGACTACACAGCATGGTAGAGAAATTTGGAAATAGGCAATTGTAGGAGTACTAAGAGTATATCCATAATTCCACACAGACAGAAATGGTTAGCACACATGGAAAAAGCTTTAAAAGGCATATGCTTTTATTTTTAGCTATTCTAAACTTAAAAGTATCAAAAAGTATACAGCACTGAGATCAATTCAGCAAGAAATACACATGTGAAGAGAAGGATGTCCCACAAAGTATAATGCATATATATGTTTCAAAGAGAGTTTGTAACATCCGAAGGAAAACATTTGCACATTATATAAATCATTTCATCTCTGCTGGTGAAATGAGTATGATTCACTGCATCTTTGTGCCTTGAAAAACAGTGTCTTCTAGGGAAAACAACATGAAAGTCCAAGAAGACCTTTAAATACTCATTTCATAGTTTCCCTTAGATAAGATCTAGACACCAACAGCTGGGAGCCACTCAGTCAATTCTTTCTTCTTGAATTGCATCTTATGACTCACCCTACTTCCACAATGTTTCATAGTGGAAAAAGGGGGTGTGGGTGAGATCAATCATCATTGTAATGGGATTTCTCAAAAGTTCATTCTGAGAATGAGAGAGAATCACTCTCCCCATTCTCCTCACACTGAGTTTCCAAGAATAATAGTTGCTGACCAGACACATTAATAAAGTGCTATTTACAATCCTTTGTTCTGTTCGAGATACAGCCTTGTATGTAGGAACTCAAGGAACTTTGCCAAATTCTTGCCTTTCTAATTGCATTTTTTATCTTGAATCATTGCAACAAAGAAGTTGCAAAGAGATAGCCATGACTCTCCACAGTATTCTTCAGCCACCTTTCTCTGGTCAATATAATCCTCTTCTTCAACACAGTCACTGGATGCTTTCCCTGGCTTGTTTTCTGCTGGCAGACTATCTTCCTTTGCATGATGACTTGGCTTCTCTTCTTTTGGATTTTGTGATGCTAGTGTTACCAGCCTAAGGTGAGCAGTTGGTGGTCCTGTCTTGCAGAGTTTAGATTTTAAGATACTCTTTGGATCCTTACATATGTTCTTCTGTTTCTTTAGAGACCTAGTAATTTGCTTCCAGAAAGCCTTCTGGTTTTTTGCATACTGTGGACACGTAGAAGGATTACCTGAAAATTCACATGAGAAGGTATCTTCCTTGCTTTTACAATCTATTTTCAAGGTAGCAGTCTCTGCCTCATTTAGTGTCCAGGTACACTCAGACTTCTCTTTAGTAGTAAACTTGCCTTTATGGGAACCTTTTGCTCCTCGGTTTTTCTGACTCCTTCCATTTTGGTTATCAGATGCAGCTTCTGTCCTTCTACCTTTTCCAGCATCTGCCCTCACATTTTTCCTGTCCTTTGGATTTTCACAGTGAGTTTGTAGCAGTTGAGAGAATATAATGAGGGTACACAGAAGGGCAAAATGTCTGATCTTCATGGCTTACGATTCCTCTGGAACCTGTTTTGGAAATGAAAAAGTAATTTGTAAAAATTGCCTGTGTTTTATTTACTTATTCCTAGTTTTAGCCATGTTGACACCACTGTAAGCTAGAGTCCATTGATCTTTACACAGTATGCTGATCAGTGTCCCACATGACAGTGCTTTTCAAAGTATGGACCTTTGGAACAATCTTATTTTTTGTTAACCTATTTTGAAATGCCCTCTTCTTTTCTAAAACAAAGTTATGATATAGCCTTGCAGCTTCTGCTTGGAGCTAATGTGGTAACATGAAGAGCTGTTTGATTACTTTAATTCACATGGATTTGGTAACATCTGCTCCAGAGTTGACTCATGTCTGATAAGAATGTAAATTAAGTATCATTCTGTAACCTCCATTCAAACAGTAACTTGACAGCAACTGTGTGAACTTAGATGGAGTGATGCCATGATGGTCCTTCAGATGCAACATCATTATCAGCTAAGATGACCGCAAATTTATTTGAATAAAAATGATCTGCTTGATTGTTTTACACTCAGCTTGCACATCTTTTTAAAACTATCCTCTAACTTTTTGTTCAATTGAACCCAAGTTTAGCTGAAGTATCAGTTCAATCCAATGAAACCCCAGCTAAGGAATCCCTAAGACAACAGTAAAATAGGTAGAAAATTAATACAACACTGTAGCACATATATGCTACCAGTGAAAGAAGGTGTTTCCAGAAGGTACTAGTATGGCACAATAACCCTGTACCATTCATAGAATTTCATGGTATTATCTGGATTTTGTTGCCTTCTACCCATAACCAGGAAGAAATGAAGGGTCTATTAGTAAAGACAATCTCATTCTTCTTACTTTTAGGTAGTAAGTGGACTAGGCTCCACATCCCATAATGGTTAATGAGATCTAAAAAACTTAACTGTACACTGGACCACTTCCAACAGGTTTAAGACTTAGGACCAAAGTTCACATGACATGCGTTGTGTTTTTATTTCTCCTGAAGATTCATCACACCAGCCCAGTAAGCAGCCTTGAAGAGTACAATCAAGAGCAGTAGAAATGTTGAGGGACTGACTGATCATTTCTTGCTTATTGTCATTTTTCCAGTCAACATCATCCTATTCAAGCTATTTATCCACTCACGAGAGAAACGATAATTCAACTATCAGTTACAATCCCAGATGCTACTTTTCAGTTAAATTAAAAATAGTGGCAGAAAGAAGCACACAACCCCATATACTGTACAGTTTGGTCTGCAGCAGACAAAGGAAATCTAGCTTTTCTCTTCCGGAAGATTAACTTTCTATGCTGACATAAGTTACAACACATACCTCTTGCTCTCTTTTGAGTTTATCCAAAAAATAAGCCTCAAGGTGACTCTTGTCTCTTCTAAAGTGCTGAAACCTTGTGCTTATATATACAGAACAAGACACACCTGCATGCCTTCAGAAGGCTATTGCTCCACAGTAGTATGCTTTCATGACTTATTTACTTACCTAGACACACCTTCTGGAACTCTGCCAGTTCTTATTTGCAAAAATTAAAAAAACCTAGTTACAGCACAGTGATAGATAAACTCTTGAAAAAGGAAGACTCTGCCAACTCTTTTCCTTTTCTTCTTTGACAATAGGAATAGAAGCACCCTCTTGATAAATGGTTTTACACAAACAGGAAAAGACTAATAAATGAATAGTGCTCTCATGAATAAAAGGAAGGAGAAAAATCTTATTGTGGTTACAGGAGTAGTCAGCTGGGAAGCTAAACAGTAGGTATTGTATTCCCATATTATAATTATAAGTCCCATTCACTTCACTGGAGCTTTTGATGAAGATAGTCTTTTTCTCCAATTTGCCAGCAAGAGTGATTAAAATATAACATTCTCAAAATAGATGTAGCACACTGTCACTATTATACATGAACAGCATCATGCTGCAAGAACAATGCATGCACAGTGGTCTACTGTGAAGATGTGAGCGTAACCAGCCTTACCTATTTTGCTAATTATATCTGGGAAAGAAATATGGCAACCTTTATCTGTCACCCTTTCCCTCCTATGTCTGCCTCCCCCTCTGCTAAATTTAAATGTTAAGTTCCTCAGGGTTGGAGTGACTCTTTCTGTTATGTCACTCTGTAAAGTACCATGTGTATTGATTGCACCATATAAATATTAAAACACTGGAATGGATATACTGCCTTGGAAATACCCCTGTGCTCCATGGCTCTTTGGGTGGTTTCTTCCCACGCCTTTCCTTATTAAATAGTCCTACTATTACTGCTGAGAGCAACCATGTGGCAAAACCCTTGGAGTTCTGGGGGTTTCTTTTAACATATTGGTTTCTAATATAAATGACTCTTGGAAAATCAGTCTTAACTTTTTTAGCAAAGGAAGCTTTCCTTAAAAATCTCAATTGTTGCAAAATATGTAAGAAAGAAACCACAAAAAATGTACATTAAGAATTAATGAAGGCAGGTTCCCCCAGCTTTCTACAAAAGCATAGGATAGAGTTCTCTGAAATCTGCAGTCAGTACACTCATTATACTTTCTTCCAGTGTAGAAAGATTGGCTGGATTCTTAATATTGGCTGCTAAGACTGGTTGTCAAAACATTGTGCCAAGGCCCCCAGCCTCCCAAAGAGACTTAATCCACACCATGTAACCTCAAAAGCAGATTTGCTGCCTGCTCAGCCTAAGCACAGCACAGCCCCTTCTCCCCCTTGGATCAGCAAAAGAGCAATCCACGTGGCAGTTCCTGTTCCTGGGAGGGGACCCTTTAGCTTGCTTTCCACATCAGCAGAAGCCACCCCACCACATGGATTTACCAGTTTTTGTTACATGCTACATGTTATTTGTAGAAAGTTACTACAGGACCAATCTTTTTATTACAGGTAGCATAGTATCTTGCTTCTCTAGGACCTTGTACGTTCAGAATTTTCTAGTGTTTGAATGGACAGAACAGTGAATTTTAGCAGGACAGGGCTGGGGTGAATATGATTAGGAAGCTGCTGTGGGTCCAGCACCCCAAAAGTGATATTTCTTGAGACCTGGCATGACCTATCAATTCCGAGTCATTGTCATATTATACTAGACATTACTTCCTCAGAGGATAATGATTCCATTGCTTCCTCTAGCACTTAAGAGCACAAGGGAGTTGGTGAACATGGACAACCACCCCATGTTCACTACCCAGAACATGTCAGTCTTGGGTTAGGCTGCAGATTTGGGGAACATAATACTCTGTCACTGCTTACACCAGCAGGTCCAGACCTTCCAACATTGTCCTCAGGAGCAAAGATGGTAGCACTTGTGAACAGAAACCCGGCATTGAAAGTGCAATGCTCATCTGATAGCATAAGGTCTCCCATTTCTGAGCCCTCCTTGGGAGGAAAAAAACCAGGCCCAATACTTAAGGAAAGTGTGAGATAGCTGCTCATTTGATGCCTTGTTGATGTTGTTGTTGATAAACACCTTACCCTCATATATCATTTTTTCTAGACAGCATCCCTATTACCTTGAAGAACTGTCTCATCCCAGTGTTATAAGGTAAGTCCTTTAAAAGATAGCAATCAGAACCCTACAACAGTATTAGCATGAGAATTGGACATTAGAATCATTATTTGCTCACAGGCGCATCTGCTTGGGCAGATGAGTAGTGACAATAGCCTTAAGCAGCAAATGGCTGCTCTTCCAGGTCAAGATTGTCTGCTTGTCTGATGATACATTGGCTTTCCGGAGGAGCAAGTCACTGGATGGTGGCAATAGCAGGCTGGAAAATGGGACCACTGGAGTGGCTTTTCCCAAGGCCACCCTCCCTCACCTTCAAACAAAGCTATGGCTTGATGTGACCCAGAACAGGCAGGCTTAAGTTATTCTGAGCCAGAAGCTGACTGAGCAAGATACTATCACTCAAACTAATTTATCTCACAATTTTTCCAATTTATATGGAAAAATGAATTAATTCATATATTCCATTCATTTTTGAGGAATTCAAGAATTCAAGAAATGATAAATGCTAAAGGCTTAGCCAAAGCATCTTGATACTAGAAAACAACTGTGTTATACTACTGTTGATTTTAGCTGTTCATATTGCCTGTATCATCAGATCTTCGTGATATATTGACTAATATTTGTTTCCATGGTTGTATGGATAAATGACTTTGGAAAAATGATTTTCCAGGATCACATCATCTGCCTTGATTTTTTGAAGACTGTTAAATACTGGTGTTTGATCATTTCATCTGGAAAGAGAATTCATTTCACAGACAGCACCAATATGGAATGTTTTTGCCAGTTAAGAATGTTGTTTTCACATATGGGAAAGGTTGCCAGCTTCTACAAATTCATAGGCCACATGTTCTGGTTGATTCCTCAAATTATTTATGTATGTTCAGGAAGAGAAAAGAGAATGTTGCATGCAGTAGAACCATCACTACACTCTTTTACCACTAGTAATGGAACAATACTTTGTTTGAGCTGTCCTTCCATCATAACATTTGCCAACAACATCAAAGGATGCTTTTGTGTAGACAGATCTTCAAGGGACAGTACAGCTGTTAGAACAGCCTCTTCATCTTCATTTCCTTGAAATGCGTGACACTAAACAGGAACCCTCCATCTGTGCACTTAAAACATTTCAGTACCTCTATATCGAAATGTAATGTGTGCCTCAGTTTCATAAAGCAAATCCTGACTCCTAAATAGCAGTCTCCAATGCATAAATGTAGAAAGGGAAGAAACAGGCAGTAAGCATATGGTAAAATAAGACAGCCCATCAAAGAGGCCTACATTCCACAGATGAAGATGCACATGTCAGAGTTATTGAAGCAGGGACACAGTTTCCATGCAAGTGCTAGAAGCCAAAGCCAGGAGTGTCTGGTTTTAAAAGAGAACCTTTCCATTATGGAAATCTGGTAGGAGTGGAAGAACCAGTGTAATATGGTCATAAAGGGCGTATATCTAAACTCCTAAACAAAAAACTAGAAAGGATTCAGAAACTCAAAATCATTTATACAAATGTGACCCACATTGAGCCTCAGAGACTTCAGGAATGCTAGCATAGGAACAGCCCCCACCCCTAACTTAATATTCACTCAAATAATTGGAATAGTTCATTAGAAATTGATCAGAGTCATTTAGTATTTAGCTTTGACTAAAGCTAAAGAAATTTAATACACTTAGGAAATTTAATAAACTAAACTATTGTAAAAATTCAATTACCACAACCATCTATAGCCTTCTATAAGTCGTGGTTTTCTTAAAAAGGAAGACAGAACACAGTGGCAGAACACCAGCTTTGCATGCAGAAAGTAGCAGGTTCAATTCTCAGCATCTCAAAGGAAGGCACAACCTGAAAACCTGGAGAGCTCTTGCCAGTCATTGTAAATACCAGACTAGATGGACCATTGGTCTGCCTTGGTATATGGAAGCATCCAGTGCTTTTTTTGTAAAAAAAAAAAAAAAAAAGGTGCCAGAACTCACCTCTTGGGGTCACACTTTTACACTAAAAAAGATTTTCAATTCACCAACTTTTTTTTGAAATAAAGAACTTATTAACCTTTTGCACTTAGCCAGTCACTTTACACACACGTAAACATAATGGTCATCGCCGGAAGTGCGTGACCACACGACTGATCCCAAGCTGAGCAGCGTCCCGAGCTGAACAGTGCCCTCACAAGCAGCGTGAACACACACACAGCCCACAGGCACTATTTTAATGCTTTTTGTTGCTGACCTACTACGCCCGACAGGGTGATTCACAATCACATGGAAAAATCCATCAAAAAAAGGTGCCGGAATGCCGTTCCGGTGCGTTCTATGACAAAAAAGGCCCTGGAAGCATCCAATATTCCTACATTAGCCATTTTAGAAGCCTCTAATGTTGCGATTTTAGAAGGAGCTTGATATGTGAACATTAGCAGGACTATGCCATGTGAATGATCTTTAAGTGATTTCTACACATCCTGGTGCTATGAAAAGCAAAGCAAGCAGGCCAGGTTGTTGTTTTCCAGGTTAGCTGACCTCCCATATTGTAGTCCACAGCCTGCTTGCTTTAGAGCAGTGCTACTAACATGAAAATAACTTTTGACTAATAACATGAAATTTAATTTTGACTAAACCAGCTGTGCACTGTGGTTTTCAAACAGCAAAGGCTTGCATTTATTTTATTCCTCCACAGATTTGCCCCGTGCTTCTCATTTTACACTTCCTATTGCCTGACTTACTGGCCTGGCTCACTGGAGTGGAACACATCCAAGCTGTTCTCCTCTCTGGCGTAGAGGAGAGAACAGCTCTTGTCACCACTGTCAGAAATACCTTCCTATTTTCTGAATCACCTGCACCCCCCCTGCATT